CAATATGTGAAATTTTGTGCCATTACAACTTAGCGACGCTTTAATGAGGAACCGTCACAAAAAATTTTTATTTCAGGCGTCCAGAACGATGTGCTTTGTACAAAATTTCAGCTTTCACTAAAAATCGAAAAAAATAATAAAATTCTGCTTGGTTCTCTTGAATTCTTAAACAGGACGCTATACATTATACAACTTCTGTATTACTTCTTCACTTTTCATACCTGCACTGCTTCTACCTTCTCCCTTGATCATCGTGTAAAAAAAAAGTGTAAAATTTTTTGAATTTGGTAGAGGTCGCCTGCTGTCTAAACCTTTCCGCATAATTATACACCAGAAAAGTTAACATGACAGCTTTCAAAAGTCACTTAAACCTAAAAATAAAAAAAAAATTACTTGACTTCATCAGTTTGACACATATTAGAACCAACATTAGTCGTTGTTCAAGAAACAACAATGGTAGAAATGCTTCCTCTATCCACTTCTGACCATGATATTAAAACCACTAGCCTTGTAAAAACAAATATATCTAGGTTGAGTTGTGATAAAAGAAAAAGATAGACTAAGTGGAAGGTTTCCTAACAAATTTCTAACTTTTCACAGTCCCAAACTGTTCAATCTGATGAGCTAAGTTCCAGTTCCAATTAAGTCCCATACGGATATAAAGGAAAATGCTATCCTTTTCGAAGTGAAAAAATTAGTATTTCAAGTGACAGCAGTGTACTTATCCCCTCTAAATATAAAAACTTCCAGTGACGTAAGCCACTTTGCATGCTAAATAAAAAAAATAAGAAAAATACCTGTTCATTAAGAAGGTATTTCCGATGCTGTTCTTGAACTTTACGTTCGACATCTTTATTGATGTCGTGCTTCAACTTTGCTAACGTCTTCTCCTTCTCTACCAAGAGCAAAGCCATTTCAAGTCTTCTTTTCACCTGAAATTTTTTTATCCAGCTAAATTAAGTAAAATTTCGCGAATAGTTCCTTTACAAACAAAAGAATCTTAAAGTGGTAAAGTATAACTGACAGAAGACTTTTGAAGACTTACTAAGGACAAGTGTCGAAAAAAAATCAAAAACCGACGTTATGCCTGGTGAGACCTATACTGAAAGGCAGTAAACCTATTTGCTAAAGCATTGTTAAAAACCATCTATATAGACATTATTGTTGGGAATTACAGTGGAAAGCTGCAAATGCAACCACAGAGAATAATAAAAGCGGCAAGTGTTACAGAATAGAAACGAAATCAGGTATGACAGACACTACTAAGAGGTGCAGTCAAATACCCAAATTTGATTCTCTTCCGTGATATTTCTTGCCATCTAAAGTATTAAAGCTCTCCATCAAAACTCCTAAAATTTACCTTCAAAACAGCATCTTGGAAAGCCCTCTAGATAAAATGGGGGAAATGGTGATCAGTAGTAGGGCAGTCTTTAAAAAGACTTGACAGATAAATGGAAATAACTGGACTCATAGCTATAAATTGGTAATTTCGCAAGATTGTTTGTAGAATGCTACATGGGATGGTTGTGTACTAAATTACTTTTTCACCTCTCCAATTGTTCGCCGTCCCTTCTAACAAATTTTCCATCAGGTTTACTTTTGAACTATTCTTTAAGAATAAGCGTTTTACCATCCCGGAGCGACTCCATTGAATAGTTTAGGAAAATATTTAAACGGCAATATTAACGGTAAAGTGCCAAGAAGAAAAGAAAAATCTACTGTAACTGAATAAATAAACTATTTAAGTAGTCTCCGTGAAAGAATAAAGTTGATATTAGAGGTGTGAACTGCATACACTAATTTCTTGCATCATCTCTTGTAAATCAGCGGTGTCGGCGCTCTGCACGAGAGTGGCAACCAAATCACAAAGATAAATGGGGTTGTCAATGACATTTTGTGAAGGATGTAATAAAAGGTTTATCTGTTGACCAAAAAGAGGATTGTACTGCACGATGTCTCTGATAGTCTGCACAATGGCTTGCATGGTTGCCTATAATACGATACAGAATTAACCACAGTTTTTATGTTATGTTTTTTAGAGCTGCTCAGCATGGCTTCTACAAACTTCAAATTATGCGTAAACTGATTTTTGGCTGGTTCGAATCTCCAACCCTTCTTCAACTCCTTAAATAAAAAATCCTGACAAAATAATCTTTCCGTCTCTGAGAAGAAATGAAAAAAGAAATGATGTTTGAGGAAACTTACTTGACACAGAGTCAAGGCACATTTTTAAATTTGAAAAACGAATACTGATTCAATTTAACTGATTATGAACTGGCTTAAAAACCAACGCTGTAGTCTGCCTTTATATCATTACGCCTGTATTATCGTAGTCCCATATAAACGTCATTTTTTTACTCAAAAAATAAAAATAACAAAATCACCTTCATTTCAACGGTACTTTCGATAGGTTCTGCTACAAAGTTTTCTGTTCGAGCCAAAATAATAGTAGGCTCTGGTTGAATTGCTTCGCTTTCTTGATCTACTTCTTTCTCTGTCTTTTCTTTAGACTTAGAGACTTTCCCAGTGCGACGTTGCTGAGAAGAACGCCGACCATTTAACCTTGCAAACCCTGAGCTAAAAAAGCCTGGAAGTATTAAACAAATTTTAAACAGGTAATCCCTAATCAGCTAAACTTACGCGGTGCCATCAGGTGCACTATCATCAACTGACTCCAAAATACGTATTCTTCTTTGTGCTGATAATATTACCTCTACTATGGCTCCCAAATCTCGAAACTCAATAATCTGCGCAAAAGAGCCAACAGGGTAAAGATCTGATAATGAAGAAACAGTCTCCGCTTTGTTCCTAAAATTTTTTTGTGTTGAAAATTCATCTAGCTGAAACCATTCAGAGCTCGCTAAAAAAAGACAGTAAAAAAACTGTGTAAAAAAATATAGCCAAAATAAGAAAAACGAACTCGTCGTCTTTTTTGACAAATACACCGACATATGGCTGTCGCATTTTCACTTTTCTTCTTAAAAGTTCTTTCAAAGGCTCATCTTGCACTACCTATAAATGTCACTATTAAAAGCCGCATATGCTTCGTTCTCTCCTTTATAGATGTAAATTAAAAAACACTATTTATATATGAAACACCTTGACGGAACCTTCCACCACTTTTCCAAAAGGGGTTCAAATAATTACATAACTTATTAAATATTCAAACTATACTAAAGTTACCAACTGAAGTAGAACGCGTCTGTGAACAAGAAATGCAACCAGACGCATTATTAAAAAAAAAA